CCCATCTGGGTCAGCAGGGGTCCAATGTTGCCCCTGCTTTTCCTCCGGCTCCCCACATATCTGAAAAAGGACTTCTTATTGTCCTTGATGCTCAAAGCTAGCTGGAGTTCAGTTGCAGCCTTGGCTTTCCTGGTCTGTTCCCTACAGGACCGGACCAGTGCAGAATAATCCTCCTTGGAGGTGAATCCCATCCTCCACCCTTTGTAGGCCTTTCTTTTTAGCCTCAGGAGATCTGCTAGGTCCCTGGAGAGCCAGGGGGGCTGCTGTGCCCTCTTGCTGCCTTTCCTCCGAGATGGAATAGACTTAGTTTGTGCATTGAGGATCGCTCCCTTGTGTATCCTCTTGAACTCCCCTCTCCCTGTGGTCACGGTCCCTTAGGGCCTCACTGACAAGCCTCCTGAGCTTGTCAAAGTCAGCTTTCCGACTTAATAACACTGCATCATAACACCTATACAGCAATAACACTGCATCATTTACCCAGAGAGGTGGTGGAAGCTCCATCCTTGGAGGTTTTTAAAACCCGGCTAGACAAAGCTTTGACTGGGATGATCTAATTGGGGGGGGGCCTGCTTTAAGCATGGGGTTGGAATAGATGACCTCCTGAAACCCCTTCCAACCCTAATTTTCTATGATTCTATAAGTAAGCAAACCGCTCTACCTACTTCATTCAGTGATGACATGATATTTCCTTTTTCAGTGTAAAAAAACCCCAAACTTCAAGTGGAAGTTAATCCTAAATGGATTAACTTATCCACTTAGATAGAAATTTAGATTTTTGTTCTTTGAACTTTACTCTGAGGATCAGTGGGAGCATCTATGAGTGTCTATACGTGAGCACAGAGGCTGCTCTGACAGCGTGTCAGAGCAAACTTGATTAATGGAGTCTGCTGGAGTGTGGTAATTACCACACTCCAGCCAGCATCTGCATCTCATGTAGCACAGGGTTCCTGTGCTTCAAAATAGTGGTAAGGGTGTTTTATCTAAAGCTCGTCAAATGAGCTTTAGATAAAGCACCCCCACTGCCACTTCGAAGCACAGGGATGCTGATACACGAGATGCTCCAGGCACTTTAATTAGAGTACTCCTCATAGGCGGAGGGAGAAAAGAATTTGGGGGGGGAGGGCTGAGCGAGTATGCACATGTGTGCGCACACCCCCCAGGAAGGAAAGTCTGTGGGGGAGAGGGAGGGGGGGCAGGGAGAGGGAATGGGGCTAGGGCTGGGACCAGGAGGGAGTGGAGCTTAGCCAGGCCCTGGAATGGGATCAGGGCCAGGGCCTGCTATACCCATCCCTTCCCCCACACCCAGCGTCATTGCCCAGCCAGCTCCTCCCACACCAATGAGCCCACCACTCCCTCAGTCCCAACTGCCTCCCTGCACAGCCCGGCCCTGGCCCTGCACTGCCTGAGGGGGCCTGGAGCAGGGGGCTGGAGCGGGACCAGCCTCAGCTGTGCCACTGGGCCAGAGGGGATGGAGCCCCTGGAACCCCCGTGCCCACCCCACCAGGCCTGCACAGCTGGGGCAGGGCAGGGTGTTGGATGGAGCCGCAACTTGTCCATGGGGCATGGGGAGGGGGTGGCAGCTCTCACTGCTGCATGCAACCCAGGAGGCATGGGGGGCATGTGCCCCTGATCTACGCAGGGCAGGGCAGGCTGCTGCTGTGCACTGGGGTCTGGGTAGCACCGGGCTCTTTCTGGCTGGGGGGGCTGTGCTACACTGGGGGTGGGCAGCAGTGGCCCTGGGAGGGAGGTTGGGTGGGTGAGGGAGAATCTTGGGGTGGCTGCAGCTGCCCCCCCCAACCATAGCCCCCTCCCAGTGCTACTGCCACTCATCCCACCAGGAAGAGCCCTGAGCAGCCTTGGTCCCAGCCTGGAGTGACAGCCCACCCTGCCCTGCGCAGATTGGGGGCATGCACCCCCCATGCCTCCCAGGGTGCATGCAGCAGCAGGAGCCGTGCCCCCCGGACAAGCAGCTCACGGCTCAGTCCTGCACTGTTGGCTGGGCAGTGCCTGCCTCTCTCCCTCCCCATCCCTGCTGCAGCCGCTAGAAGCCCTAAGCCAGGCTGCCTTGCAGCCCTACTGCTGCCCCACATGTTGGGGGGAGGGTGAAGCTCTGTTAGCCCCCCTTCTGTTGCCTATGGTGCCGCTCTAATTAAAGTGCTCCCCCACCCGCAGAGCATGTGTATAAATGCCCTAAATGTGTGTTTTAATGTGCATTAGCCTATTTTATTCAGGGCTGAATTAATGCATAGGCAAACTGGGCACGTGCTTAAGCGAAGAAGGTGCCCAGTCGTTTATTTTACATATTATAATTATTGAGTGAAAAAAAAGTAGGGGCCCATGAATGTTTGCCTAGGGCCCATTAAAGGGTTAATCCAGCCCTGATTTTAAGGTGCATTAAAGCATCACAAAAAACAGTGTGCTTTCACTAATGCACATTAAAATAAGCTAATGGACCTGTTTATAATACCTCACAATGGAGGTGCTAAATTTAATGCGCATTAGCAAAAGCACACTACTGAACATGTAGTGCGCCCAGCGTTTCCAATTCATTTGTGCTACCTCCACCATAACAGATGGAAGTGGAATTCTATTTCATTCTTATCTCATATTATTACTACTATCATTATTATTTTGATTTATGATATGATATATAACAGTCATCTACTCCAGACATACTGTTCAAAGCTAGAGAGACAAATAAACCCTAATTCATAAACACTGAAGTTTTGACTAGATTAAGTAGTCTATCCACTCAGAACCAGTAAGGATAGAAGTCATTCTACTAGCAGCTTTTTTTCCTAATATTTCTTGTACTTGTATTTTTATAAAAATCAGTAAAGACCTATATAGCAAGAACAGAAGTACTGCAGGGTTTTTTTTGTTTTGTTTTGGTTTTTTTGGAGGTTGGGGGTGAGGAGGTAAGATTTGGCAAAGTATGCAGGATCCCACTCATTGTACAAAATTCCTTTTACAACCTATTTACCTTGGATAAAGCTGATTGACTGCGTGGAGAGTCAAACTGCCAGAGTCCAGGGGGAAGCTGGAATGGCTGATGTGCTTCAACATTTTTGGAAATTGTATATAATTCAGTGATTCAAGGTGAGGTGCAAGGCGGCACTAGTTTACCCATTTCTCCTCAAAGTAGGGCAGGACAGGCCAAGGCAGGGCCAGTCTGGGCTGCTCCTGACACTCCCTCAAGCCTATGAATGGCTGCCTCAGAGCCACCTCTCAATAGCATTTCCCTTTGGGACAGGGCAGGCCTGTCTTAAGGCTGTCGGGTACTTTTCCACCCCCATCAGTGGCATGAATAGGTTCGGAGTGTTATTGACTGTCAGAGCTGATTGAAAAACCACCAAAAATATCTACAAACTATATTTAAGTGCTGTTTGTATTTAAGGGTTGGGGGTGGGGGGGATTGTGGGGGGGACTTTTTTTATGTCGGTATTCACAGATTGGAACAATAGAAACTATGACAACATTTTCTGTCAAAATCTGAATAACCAACCAAAAAAAATCTAAATTTTGAAAACTTGTGGCCAGTTCTAATTCTGAAGAGGATTGTTTTAACCTTTTGCATTCTTCTCCCATTCCAGTCTCTGGGCCTTTTTCTTTGCAGCCCTCTACATTGGGACTCCCTCGCTGAATCAAGCTGCCATGCCTTCCCTTTCTTCTAAGCAAACACAATGTCCTCTGAGAGGCCTGTGCAACCTTATTTTCTCCGCAGAGGAATGTTAATACCACCAATCAAAGACAAAGCCAAACAATGCTGTATATCAGGAAACATGTATGGTGTGCCCAAAGGTAAGAAGCTCAATCATTCTGTGATGTAATATTCCACCCAATCTTTTATCTTTCAGGTTTCATTTGACGATAAATGTATCAAGGCTGAAATCAGACATTTGCCTATTTAATACGTGGGGCACTTCAAGCTCAATAAATAACAACAGTAACAGAAAATAGAACTCTGCTAGTGTTTTCTGTGTCTTAATTAATTAAACACTGATTTGTGTCCTAACATGTTTGAACAGAGGAGATTTATTTTGTAACATACTAAAAAAAATTATTTCAGCTAAATACAAAATAGACTACTATTATAGGTCCCAATCCTTCATTCAAATCAACAGTCATGTGGAGGTTCAATAAAATCAGTATAGTACTACATGAGCTGATCTATAGGGACATTTCCGATAGACTTCATTCCTATTCTAATTCTGCTTGTGTTTCACAACCAATCTTTTGCAGACCAGCAAGTTAATTTATAAGGGTGTGACATCTGATGTAAATTGATCTGCAATTAATCTCAGCCTCATGTAGGACAACAGATTTCAAGTATGCTGAACAAAACCTGCCCTCAAAACAATAAATAATCTCTTTGATTCTACTGCACAAGAAGGTACTCACATCCATGTAATCATACAGCCTTTCTGAAGTAGCTGGTAAAAAGATATTTGAAGGGAAGCAATGCAGGTATCTCCGTGCAAAAATGTCAGGTTGGTGATTACTCCAAAATACCTCCAGATCTCCCCTTTCATGAAGTTGCTTCTTGATGGATTTAAATCGAACTAAAGGGATCCTGAGCAAACAAAATAAACATGCAGAACGTTAACTGGCCTTGCTTTCCCCAGCACAATTCATCTTGAAAAAAAACCCAAAATGAAACAGAACTAGCCTTCGTGATAACACACAGAGATCATTAAGTCAACTGAGCATGAAATAAACTGTGATACTTGAAATGCTTTCTTACCTTTCTACAGCTATGGTAAATGGAATATAAACCAGAGCCAATAATATCACTTTCATGGTTTCAGTTGGTTTGGAAGCCAGTGGCATTCATTTACTCAGTACTCTCTTTTTATAATTCATTGGGCCACAAAGGGTGTTTACTTAGGTCAATCAATTACACAAGGTTAGTGGTTTGGCAGAATCCCTATTAATGTGTTCTAAGCTTGGTAATTATTCACATACATCAAAGATATTAAACCACATCTGCCAAGGGAACAGCCTCTGCTAAAAGGTGTGTATTAATGGACATTATATGTGTTAAGGTGAAGAAAAAGAAAGCAAAATACCAGCTTTGAGAATTTTTCTGGATGGGTCAGTAACAAAGAAAGCTGAAATGCATCTTAGATGACATGTATACATAAGGCATTTATGACAAATACATCTGACATAATATACAATAGCATGGTTTTTGATATGGAGATGTTCCAGAAGGATGTAACACATGGGTATTTGAGTGTGTTGTGACAAGTCATCTGCTAACAACTAAAGATTAAAGCCCTATCTAAAACTAAGCCAGCAGATATGCTATTTATGTGAGAGCTGATGTGGAAATCATTAGTCCAAAAAAACATGGTCTACAACATAGTGCATTAATAGCCAGTGGTCTTCTTTTGTCAAGGCTTCTTTAATGAAGGTTTTTCTGAATCTTTCAACAAGACATTTGTAATCTTCCACTTTTCCTCAGTCTCTTGACTCAACATAAACTAAATAATAAGTTGATCTCAGCACAAAGGTGAATTTAAATAAAGGAATAATCAACTTTTGAACAGGGACCAAAGATGGAAATTTTATAACAAAGAATGAATGTATAAGAAGAGAGGTTATCATATGTTTCAATTTTAATATGCCAGTAAACAAAACTAAAAAGTTACAGTACTTAGGAAAATGGCTGAAACACCAATTATAGACTATTAAAAGTCTATGGCATGAGCCTAACTTGTATTTAAAATAAATTGTTCGGACTTTTGCCAACCTCATATATCTTACCTTTATGGAAAACCAAAAAAAGTGGAAGTCACAAGTGTCTGGAACTTACTCCCCACAGTTTATGTAATGGTCACCATGGCCGTGTCCACACGTGATGTGGATGTTTGGTCTCCCAGGGACAAGTAGCAGTAGCACACCTTGTGCTACCACTTGTCCCCAGGGAATGCCTTTGCCACACTTGCTTTGGCAAGTGGCAAGTTACCCTGGTGGGGTAAGGGAGGCTGGCAATGGGCTGGCCTCAACAGCCTTATCTGGGGCCCTGGGGGCCTCCAAGGGCTGTAGCAGCAGTGATTCTGCTGCACAGAGCCTGATTGGCAGCTGCAGAACAGCTCTGGGTGGCTCAGCTCTGCTTTTGAGCAGTGCATGCTGCCTGTGCATGTGCTGCTCAGGTTTTTTTTCTGCTGGTTTTTTTTTACCCCTGGATAACCAGGGGTCAAAAAAAAAACACGGAGGGAAAAAAACCAAAATGGACATGGGCAGCACTCCCTTGCAGTGCAGAGAACATCTGAATGTGCAGTATGTGGCACCACAGATGTGGTCGCAGCACCACATACTGCATGGCTGTGCTCGTCTGGACGTGGCCCATGAGTTTATCTCCACTCAGTTTTTGTAGTGGTTTAACTACATGGATTTAGAAGCAGATATAGTTCAGTTGTGTAACTCCTAGTGTGAATGCTGTTATACTAATAGACATTTAAATAAACCTACTAAATAAACTGTATTACTGTAACACTGCCACTGCTCTTTGTTAATGCAACTACACAACAGGTTTGAACTAATTTAGCTGTATTAGTTACCAGATCATAAAGACAGCACTCTCCAGTGTGTTCAAAGAATAATTCCCTCAGTATTATTCATACAAACGAGGCCTGTTGAAATGCCTATTTATTCAACCAGAGTCTTTCCTGACTTTAGAGGTATGCTGGGCTGAGCTTTCACCAATCTATGCAACTGTCTTTCTGGATAGGACTTCTCAAGTACTTTAAGTTAGAAATGAAAACTAACTTTCTCTCTTTCTTCCTCCCTCCCCTCCCCCAAGCACTAGCCTGTGGGAAAAATATCTGATTAGTAACTGTGTACATATAGACCTTATTCCAGAAAATCTAAATTATAGACATGAATTTTGTATTTAGTTTTGAACTCAGTGGGATCTAGTATTTTTACCTCATGTAGCAGTGAGTTCTACAGTCTCCATCCAGCCCCTTTGAAATTCCATCTCCAACATGCACACGCCCTAAATCCCAGTTGGACATTCATGGGAGGCCAGAGGGAAATGCACTCTTTCAGGCAGCTAAGTCTAACCACACATACCAGGAGCGTGACACTTTTCCTCACTGATCTGCCTTTTTCACTGTTTCCTAGAGAACAGTGTCTTCCACACGCTATTTTGTTCTTCATCTTGTCTGAAGTCACACAGCCAAACGCTGCCTTCTGAAGTGAGCAGTAACAAAACTATCCTCACTGCTTTTAAAATAAAGCAAAGAACACAGATGAAGCCCCATTTTCCTATGTACTAGTACACATCTCTTTAAAGGACTCTAGCTTTCCATCAAATTCATTGGAAACGTGTACAAGCAAGCATTCATTCCTAACGCTAGTGGAACATAAGAAACATGGTAACAGAGAACATTAACTGTTCTGCTTTAACATGCCATTTTTGTCAGCTAAGGCCACTTGATTATACATGAATAGATAAAAACCTCAACAAAACTGCAACTATCACTGTCCTAACCCTGCAATGAAGTCTAAGTTTGCTGACCCCAGTATATGGAAAATCCAAAAAAGTATCAGAGCCAATAAGGCTGAAATCTAAAACACAAAAAAGCAACTTTCAGTATGTTATGTTAGGTAATTTTGTTGGTCATTACTTCACACCTTCAGCTCTTCCACTCATCACTGCTCCTTGTATGAATCAAGCCTTTGCATTATATTGCTGAAGCTCGCTTGTTGTTTTTTGTCAAATCCCCTGATCTCACTGGCTCATTCCAAACAGACTTTAGTTTTGCCAGCAAAACACAAAATGCAGCAACAAAAGGTCATTTTGACTTTTTTTGATAAGCTAGAATAATGATTAAACTATAACCCCAAAAGGTAGTTAAAAGGATAGAATGGCCTGGCGGGCTGCATCTGTCCTACAAGCCGCATTTTGCCCACCCCTGACCTATATCCATTCTGCTCTTGCAGTAATGCCAGGTGCCATTTGTTTGCATGGCACATAAATGTCTCAACACCCCCTTTCATAATGTTATTTATATATACCGCTCAAGAACTAGACTACCAGGTCAATTCATTCTCATTCAGATCCCTTCTAGAAACCCACTTATTCTAGGACATGAGAACAAGTAACTGCATTGGCTGTCAGATGATTTGGGACTATCTATACGAAGGCTGCCCAACTTCTAAGGAGCTGGGGCCAAACATCCCCTGAGCTGTACCAGCAGGGGCTGCACACCCACAGGCTGCACCAAGGCAAGCCGTTGGCCACCCCCGGCCACATGCTATGTGGATGCCACCCACACCCAGCCACCGCACTGTGCATCACACCCTCCTTCCACTGCTGCACCCTCTGCCCATGTGGGCCCACCCCCTGCCCTCACTGCTGCACTGGACATGCTGCCCCCCTTCCCCACTGCACCTTGCATACACCCCTGTTACACCATGCATACGGCCCCAGGCTCACCCTCAGTTCCCTGGACCATGCTGCATCACACTACCCTGTCCCCTGGAACAGGCTCATACAGTGCAAGTCAGAGAAGGGGAGCCTGGAGAGCAATGGCATAAACAGTGTCCAGGCAGAAGCCAAGAGGTCACAACTTAATGCCTCATGGTTTGTATATAGCCAGTGGGCCACCAGTTGGACAACCCTGGTCTATACGCTTAGAGTCAAGGAGAAATAGGACTGGAAGTGACCTCCAGAGGTCATGTAGTCCAACTCCATGCCTGAGGCAGGATCATCCCTATCCAAACCATCCCATACAATCCATAATTTAAACTCTGCATAATACCGTCAACTCTGACACAACCCAGACCTAACACCCTAACCTGCCACAGGTAAAGCAGGGAACCGCAGCAGCCAACGTGTTGCTTCTATGAAATGTTGTCAATATACATTCAAGAGCTGCCAAGTAGAAGAAGCTCTCTGCAGAGGAAGGCAAAAATCCCACAGTCGGTACCAATCTGAGCATGGGGTAAAATTCCTTCCTGATGCCAAATACAGCAAGCGGTCTAACCCAGAGTAGAGGGGCAAGACTCTCTAGCCAGGAACCTCTAGCTTTGGTCCCAGCAGGAGCATTGGCACACCCCAAAGTCCTCACCCTTGACTATAGCCAACATCCAATACTTCTGAGGAAGGCTTAAAAACACCCTGTCACGTGTAGCAGAAAGCGGGGAAGGAGGAGCAACCAGCAAAGCATATTGAGTCTGTGATCTACCAACACTCCCAAGTCCTCTTCCACAGTGCTGCCATCCAGTCAGGTGTCACCAGTTTTATATGCATGTTTTGATTATTCCTCCCAAGGTGAAGCACCTTGCATATGTCCAAATGGAACTTCATCCTGTTAGCTCTAGCCCAACTTTCCAATTTACTGAGATCCTTACGAATTTTACTTGCATCCTCCAATGTGTTCACAATCCTTCCCAGTTTTATGTTGTCTGCAAACTTGCTCAGGAAGATTTCAATGCCAGCATCCAAATTGTTAATAAACATGTCGAACAGCACAGGGCCTAGGACAGACCCCTGTAGGTCTCTGCTTAAAAACTGCCCTTCTGACATGGACCCACTAATAATTACCCTTTACTTGTGGCTATTGAGCCAGTTATCTACCTGCCTTGTAATAGCTTTATGTAGCCCACATTTTTCCACTTTGTTTTTGAGAAACCATATCATTTACAACTTTGCATTACTGGGGAAATGACTGGCGAGGCTGCAATACTGTAGAAAAGGATCTAGGAGTTACAATGGACCATAAGTCAAATATGAGCCAAGTGTGCTGGTTAAAAAAAATGATAATTGCATACTGGGCTGTATTAACAGGAGCATCAGTTGCAAATTAAGTGATTCTTCCTTTTTATTCTGCACTAGTGAAGCCTCACCTGGAGTACTGTATCCAGTTTTGGGCACTGCACTTCAAGAAAGATGTGGGCAACTGTAAACAGGGTACAGCAGAGAGCAACAAAAAAAGGGGATGGTGAAAGACTATTCTCTGTGGTTGCAGACACAGAACAAGCAGTAATAGTCTTAAATTGCAGCAGGGAAATTTCAGACGTATAGTATAGGAAGAACTTTTTCACTATGAGGGTGGTTAAACATTGGGACTGATTACCTAGAGAGGTTGTAGAATCTCCATTCTTGGAAGTTTTTAAGAGCAGGTTAGACAAACATATGTCTGGAATGAACGGGATCATTCTGCCTTGAGCAGAGGGATGGACTAGATGACCTTCAGAGGTCCTTTCCAGCCCTACTTTTCTTATGATTACCAAATTGTGACTAATGGGAGCCTGACTGCACAGCCCAGTGGGTTGAATCTGATGTTGTACTGTCTGCTCCAGAAGCTGAGCACAGGTTGTGACCAGTAACCAAAGACCATGAGATCAGCTTAACTGTCTAATTCTCTTTTCCCTTATATTATTAGCTTTGTCTTTTCCTCCTCCTGCCCCCGCAGTAAGTTGCTCCAGACAGCAACCATGTTGCTCTTGTAGGCTGACTATCTTGGTCCTTACTGAAAACAATAGCAAGTATGTTCCAGACATTCCACATCTATAAGGTTACCTTTCAATGTGGGGAAACATTGCCACCAATTGAAGTATATAAAGTCATGTGTCAGAGAAAAGGGGAGTTAGTAGCAGGGGCACTGGAACTGCAGCAGCACAGTCAGAAGTGGCACAGAAGGGCACCTCAGCAGGTTGAGCTGGTGAATACATGGTACCGAAGTTCAGAAAGTATGCAGACAATGTGGTTTAGTGAAAAAGCTCCTTGAGGCTAAGAGTGCCAGCAGCTATAGTAAACACTGTTAAATTAAGAAAGTAAATACTAGAGTGCCTAATGATAGCGCTTTGCCAAGTATGTGTGTTAAAAGTTTGAGATAAGTAGCGGGTGGTAGGATACACTCTTAAAATATGTTTGGCACCTTGCAAAGTAACTCCATAAAAGTGGCACTCATCTGGAAAGTCAGTGGAGTCTTGACAGATATTTTAAACAACAAGCGGCTTATATCTTATGTTTCCGCTCAGTTGGCTCCAAGTTTAAACTGTTTGGCTTAATATTAAGTTAAGCTGCCGTTCTTTAGCAACGTTTACTTTCCTGATCCAATCCTCCTGGTGGGTAGCGGCCACACAGGCAGCCCAGCTGAAGAAGGGGGACGCTTAAGGGGCAGTTTTGTGTCCAGTTTAATGGAAGTGTAGAACTTTTCCAGTCTTGGCTACCAGGGAAGGAGTCCTTTGTGGCCAAGCGTGTGTGTGTGTGCACGCGTGTGTACATAGGCAAACGTATGGTTGTGTATGTGCATCTCTTCTGTGGCAAGCATGTGTGTGCACGCATGTCTCTCTCTCTGGGGAAGCAGGTATGTGTGTGTCTGGGGAAGCATGTGTGTGTGCACACCTCTTTCGGGGCAAACGTGTGTGAGTGTGCGCGCGCATGTGCATGCATCTCTTGGCAAATGCGTGTATATGTGTGTTCATGTGCCTTTTCTGGGCAAGCACATGTGGCTGCATATGTGCGTGTTTGTATGTGTGCATGTGTCTCTTTCTGGGCAAGCCTGTATGTATGTGTGTGTGTCTTTGGGCAAGCATGTGTGTGCATGTGTGCATGTGTCCACATGCATGTGTCTTTCTGGGCAAGTGTGAGTGCATGTTTCTGGGCAAGCATGTGGGTGTGCATATGTCTTCCTAGACAAGCAAGCATGTGTGCGTGTGCCTTTGGATGTGTGTGTGCTTTGCTGGACAGGCATGTGTGTGCATGCCTACACACACGACCTGCTCTCGGTGTCGGGCCACCCGTCCTTGCCATCCCCACACACTCAGGCCCTTATCAGAAACATTTCAGGGCTCTCGAGACGGGTGGCGGGTGCCATGTAAACAGAGCGCTATAAGGGGCGGCAGGACCCAGTCGCAGTCGCGCTCGTCTCGCGGCCCCGGCCCCGGCCCCGGCATGGGCAACAGCCTGCGCGCCGTGGCGGCGCTGCTGCCGTGCGAGCCGTGCCAGCGCTGCGTGCTGCCGGCGCTGGACGAGATG